CTGCACGAGCTGGAGGAGCAACTCAGGGACTTCCGTGCTCGCCTCGGCCTCCCCGTGCTCCCGTCACCCCAGCCACTGTCCACAGGCACTGTCATTGCTGCCCAGGGTGTCTGCCTGGGCACACGCCTCGCTCAGCTCAGCCAAGGTGAGACTTGGCTCATCATTGCACTGGTGAAAGTGGGAGAGAGGGATGTAGGCAGAACCTGAAGGACCAACTACTAAGAAGAGTTGTAAACTGGCTCCTGGGGAAAGTGGGGCCTTTGGGAACTGATTGATAGGCACCAGAAAGTGTAGAACCAAGCCACTGGTGATCTTGGACTCAGGAAAAGGTCTGTTCTTGGGAGGGATATGGTGTGGAGGAGCTCGGACGTTGGTGTGAGGGGATGGCACTAGGCCTCGCATTGACGTGCCTGGTCTCTCCCTTCTCTCCTGTAGAAGATGTAGTTCTGCACTCAGAGAGCAGCTCCCTGTCAGAGTCTGGGGCCAGCCATGACAATGGTGAGGCTTCTATTCCCCAAGCCCGTCCATCCTTTGATGGTCAGCCCTCCCTTCCCTCTTCAGCCCCTCCTTAGCCCCACGGTCCTGTCCTGTGGGGCCCCCCTCTGCTTGGCTTCCCCCACCTGCCTGTCTTCTTCAGCCCCAGTGCCCGTCTCATCCCTTGGCTCCTCTTCAGCCCTCTGCCTCGCTAGCCCCTGCCCTTTGCTTTACCCGCTACCTGTGGGGGTCCCCTCTCATTGACTCCTCCCCTGTTTTCTCCTTTCCTCCCAGAGGATCCCCGTAGCTGCTTCCCTTTGGTGGAGCGTCCCTCGCCACCCAAGGCCTGGGACCAGCTGCGGGCAGTATCTGGGGGCAGCCCTGAGCGGCGAACTCCATGGAAACCACCCCCGTCAGATCTCTATGGGGACCTGAAGAGCCGGCGGAACTCTGTGGCCAGCCCCACCAGGTAAGGGTGAACCCGTTTCCTCTCTTCCCCAGATGCAGGGAGTGGGACCCTGAGTCTGGCCTGGCAGGAAGGCATGCTTATCGGTACAGTCTTTAACCTGGCCTTCTTATTTCTGTCTAGCCCCACACGCTCGCTGCCCAGGAGTGCCTCCAGTTTTGAGGGGCGAAGTGTACCTGCCACCCCTGTCCTCACCCGGGGTGCTGGTCCCCAGCTCTGCAAGTAAGGAGGCTCAGGGTGGATTTGAGCACCAGAGGGGGAAATGTTGGTTTTAACTGAGGCTTTTAGGAAGAGTATTATCAGAGAGTGTGGGGCATGAGAGACTGGGCTTTGAAAGGTGACTAAGAGTTAGTTGATCGAAAAGAAGGGGGAGGGGACTGAAGGACAGAAACACCAGAGTTTGAGTATGGGCTCTTCTGTGCATTTCCCTTTTTGAATCTCTGCTCCTCACTGTGAAGTGTATCTGCCTTGGGAAGACATTGTAGGCCAAGTTCTAGTTAACATGTACCGAGCACTTCCTGCATGGTAGGAATCAGTGCTGTCTGGTGTCAGCTCATTTAATTGTCACAAGATCCCTATGAGGTATGTGCTGTGGTGGTTGTCACTTTATAGATGAAGAAAATGAGGCATAGAGAGGTGAAATAACTTGTTAGTAAGCTGAACACCTGGTATTGGAACCCAGGCAAGTTTGACTCTGGATTCTGTGTTTTTAACTATTATTCCTTACTGTTTGTTGAAGAAAAATGCTGGAGTGCCTATTGCTTCCAGGCTGGGAACAAAACCAAATCCCCATCCTTGTGGCACTTGGTGATAGCTTTTGGTGGTCCCTACATGTAGTAGGACAAAAAGTTCAAAAAGGTCTTGAATTCCAGGCCTAGGGAGTAGGATTTTGTGGTGGACAAAGTGGGGAGCTGGGAAAAGGGTCTGAGCAGGGGACAAGGGATGAGATAAGTTAGAAAGAGTCCTCACTCCCCAGCCCTGCATGTACTTACATCTCCCTCAGAGCTAACTGTCCCAGTTGCCCCCATACATTTTCAGCCCTCTGTACCACAGCCCTTTGCAGGCTGTGACCTACCACTATTATATATATACTTCTCCTACTTTATTCTTGAAGCAAGAAAAATAATTCTGGGACAATAATGGTCAAAGTATGAGCACATCTCTGCTTTTGTTTATGTCCTGATCCTGTGCTAAGGCGAATACTATTTTTTTTTTAATTGAGGTAACATGGGTTTACAACACTGCACAAGATTTAGGGAACAGGCTCACACCTGCTTCGTATCTATCACCTTCATTCAGACACACAATTTCTAATCCTGGGCCCATTTTGGAGATGTGAAAGTGAAGGTTCTGAAAGAGGTTGGGTAGGGAGGACACTCACGTTGTCTGTCTGGTCTTTCTGACCCTACTTCCATCAACCTCCTCCTCTGCCCCCAGACCCGAAGGCCTCCATTCTCGCCAATGGTCCGGCAGCCAGGACTCCCAGATGGGCTTCCCCCGGGCTGATCCTGCTTCCGACCGCGCCTCCCTCTTTGCTGCTCGCACCCGTCGTAGCAACAGCTCCGAGGCCCTGCTGTTGGACCGAGCAGCTGGTGGGGGAGCTGGCTCCCCACCTGCACCTCTGGTTCCCCCTGCCACTGGCCCCCCGGTCTGCAAGAGCAGTGAGGTGCTGTATGAGCGCCCCCAGCCAATCCCTGCCTTCTCCTCCCGCACAGCTGGCCCCCCAGACCCACCCCGGGCTGCCCGGCCTAGCTCAGCTGCCCCTGCCTCCCGCGGGCCCCCCCGGCTCCCACCTATGTGTGGGGACTTTCTCTTGGACTATTCCCTGGACCGGGGCCTGCCCCGAGGTGGCAGCGGGGCAGCCTGGGGGGAGTTGCTACCTGCAGCTGAGGCCCCAGGACCCCTCTCCCGCCGGGATGGGTTCCTTGCTATGCTCCCAGGCCCACCGCCAGTGTATGCAACTGACAGCAGCAGCCCCCTCCTCCGCAGCAAGGACCCCCACACCCGTGCCACCCGCCCCAAACCCTGTGGCCTGCCTCTGGAGGCTGCCGAGGGTCTGGAGGTGCATCCAAACTCTCTGCTGTGGATGCCCTCACATGCCCGCGTGCCCCCGGCTGGTGAGCGCAGTGGCCACAAGAACCTTGCCCTGGAGGGGCTGCGGGACTGGTACATCCGGAACTCGGGACTGGCTTCGGGGCCCCAGCGCCGGCCTGTACTCCCCCACATGGGCCCGCAACACCCACCTTTCCTCCATGCCCGCTGCTATGAAGTGGGCCAGGCGCTGTATGGGGCCCCCAGCCAGGCACCGCTCCCGCACTCAAGGAGTTTCACGGCGCCCCCTGTCTCTGGCAGGTATGGGGGTTGCTTTTACTGATGGGTTGGGGTCTCTTGAGGCAGATGGTGAAAGTATCCAGGCCAGAGAGCAGCTAGTAGTGATAGCTGATGACTTGGAGCAGGGGAGAACTCGCTGCGGGCTTGGCACAGGGTCAGCAGGCCTTGCCCGACCCACATTAGTCCAGGGGCTCGCAGTGGAGGGGTCTCGGGCCCGCTGGCAGCATCCACTCCCAAGCTAGGGAAGAGCTGTAATGCATGTCAGCTGAAAGGGAACCTTGAAACCAGGTGCTGAGAGGAAGGGCCAGCTGTACCCCTCGCCTTTTTCTTCTTCCTCTCGCTGTGCCCCACACTTGAGAGCCTACAGCAGCTGTCCTTTGCCTGCCTCCACCTCTTTAACGAGCCTCTTTTCCTCTCTCTCTTTGTGTCTTGTCCGTCTTTTCTTCTCTTCTGTCTTCCCATCCTGTCCTCCGGATTCCTGCTACCCCTTCTAAAGATACTACGCGGACTTCCTGTACCCCCCGGAGCTGAGCGCTCGTTTAAGTGACCTGACGCTAGAGGGGGAGCAGTCCTCCACTTCTGACCCCCAGACCCCGGGGACACTGGTCTGACCCCTTCTGATACGCTCCTCGCTGGCCTGGGCACGAGTCCAGTCTGAGGAGCACACAGCCAACTGCGCTGAGCCCGGGGGTGTGGTTGCTTTCAGTCCTCGGGGCACCAACCTGATCTTCCCAAGCCTTTGGCTCAACGTGGGCCCACAACGCTGTCTGATGCCCCAATTCTCTTCTCACACTGTGCTGGGACTGGGGGCCCTCGGCCAGCTTACAAGAGGGGGGATGATGTCATGGGGACTCCAAGCCCCTTCCTCCATTTCTGTTTACAGTTGTGATTTAGGTCTTCACTGTCTTGCCCCAACACTAGACGTTTTGTAAAAGGGAAACTGTGATCTCTTCCTGGTTGGGTTCATTCCTGTTTCCATGCCCAGCCTACTCCATTAGGAGCCCCTTCCATAAAATGGACCATATAGGGTCTTAGGGCCCTGACTGGGGCAGCCGGGGGGACCCTGGTGTGAACAGTACTCCCTGCCATCCTGTATTGGGGCAGTTCTTAGGAAGGTGGGCCTACTGCCCACATTTGGAAGGACCCAAGGCTGGGTGGGGTGCTTGGGTTCATCTTCCCCCAAGGGGTACCTAAAGGAGCCCTGGTCCCTGTCTGTCTGTGCCCGCTGCCTCTGCCCAAAGGGCACGATGGCCCAGCCTTTGGTGGCACTCTCTGCCCTGACTGTTCCCAATTAGAGCCCCGCAGGAGGACCAAAGGGCAGAGCTGTTGGGTGTGTTGCATCCTGGGCTGCTGTGGTGGTGGAACCTGGCATCTATTAGATGCCAGTAAAATCCTCAGGTGACATCTGGCCACAGGCTACGTCACGTCTTCCTTGGCTTTCCTTCCATCCACCACTTTTTAAACAAATCCACACAAGCTGTGTTTTCTATGATACCTATCTGTGACTTTCTGGAGCTGGGGGTCCCCCTACCCCCTTTACCTGGTGTTAAACTTTTCTTTTTGTACCAATGGACCTGGGCCCAGTACACTACCCACACTGGAAGGGGATTTCTATAATAAATGTGTAAACTGAACCCATATGTTGTTCCTCTTAACTGCCTCACCTCAGGGGCCACACCTTTAGCTAAGATCAGATAATGTATTTGTACAGGGAAAAAAAAATAGAGCACCATGGAAACAGCCTGTGATAATGTCATCCGTTTTGGCTTTACTTGCTTTATGATGTGAGGCAACTTCTTTGCCTATGTGCGCTCAGATCCCTAGCCGGTCTTGAACAAGAGCCCTTAGTGATACAGGTGATAAGAAACGCTCCTTGTTAATTACCTTGCACATTAACACTGCTCCAGAGGTAAGAGGTTCCAGGAATGGACTGAGCCCACGTGTCTGACAGGGCCCCAGGCTGTGAGAGGCCCACCCAGAAGTGAAAGGCAGACTGCCACTTCTAGCCTTTGAACACACAGAGTACTCAGGAGGCCCAGACTGGCTTGAACAATGCCAAAAGCCTTTATTGTTGCGGGAACACTGATAAATATGCCCCACCTCTTGGCTTACTGCCACTCCACCTTACTGCCACTCACCTCTTGGTCCTCAGCACTGAGGAACTTGGGGGAGGGGGGCAGAATCCCTGCGCAGAGCTGGAGGGAGGCTAGTGGGGCTGGTGTGAGGGTCATCTGGGCCCAAGTGTTCCAACAGGGTCAGAATATTTAAATCTTCCCCCAAGATAAGGGCTGGGAACACTTGGGTCTGGGGTGCAAGAATTTGGCAATGCCTTGACCTAGGTTCAAAGCTGGGGTAGGGTCTAGAAAAGTCTTGGTTCAGGGTTCAAGATTTGAGGCTCCCTTGGTCCCAGATCCCAGCTTTGGCGCTGAGCATGGGAGATGGGTGGGTCCCAAATTGGAGTTGGGAGGAGTGTCTCTGGGTCAACTTTGAGGTGGGCCATGGATGCTCTGGTCTCCAAATCCTGGTTTTGGACTGGCTCTGGGTCGCAAGCTCAGGGCTGGGGATGATGGGTTCCCTAGGCAATGAGTGGGTATGAGGCAATATTATGCCAGTTTTGGATTTGGAGAGAGGGTTGCAGATACCCTGCTTTTTGAACTGGGTAGGGGGCGCCTCTTTAAAGGCTGGGAAAGGGCTCTGGGTTCCCAGTATGGGTATGCAGGGGGTACTATTCTGCAGTACTTGGGTACATATCCCAGGGCCCTAGGATCCGGCCTCCTGCTCTTGTCCCAATGCTTCCAGCAGCAGCCCCATTGGTGTCCGCTTGAGTCCAATGCTTTCGATTTTGTTCTCAATTTTGTTCTTGAGGTTGCGCAGACGCAGTGAGGCGTGCACCAGGATCACTGTGGGCAACAGGAGGAAAATGGGGTCGGTGAGATGGGACATTAATTAGCCTTTAGCCAAATGGGGCCCACAGAGGGTAATTGGGGCACAGGCAGGCCAAAGTAGGCAGTGGCCAGGACGCCTCTGATGCATTAAGTGTGGCAAAGTAGAACACTCTGCAAAAGGGGCGTGGTCAAGGGCTGTTGGGTTCATCTTCCCCCAAGGGGTGCCTAAAGGAGCCCTGGTCCCTGTCTGCCTGTCTGTGCCCGCTGCCTCTGCCCACAGGGCGCGATGGCCCAGCCTTTGGTGCCAGTCTCTGCCCTGACTGTTCCCTGTGGATGGGGACCTGTGGATGGGGACCTAGCCAGGGAAGGGTACTTAACACCAGCCGTGAGGCCCAGGTGGCAGTAAGAAGGGTGTTCCCGGAAGGGAAGCCAGGGAAGGTGCCCCATGAAAGGGGTGTGGCCTTGCCAGCCAAGTGTCCCAGCCCCCTCTCAGCCCAGGAACCGGGGTAGGGCTGGCCATTTTCCCTGCTACAGGCTATAGAAGGGTAGTGGAGGGACTCACGAAGCACAGGCCCGGCAATGCTGAGCAGGAAGGTGCAAGCGCCGCTCACCGCCCAGAGGATGAGAAAGCTGACTGTGAGCACTATGGCCAGGCAGGCGGCAGGGTGGCTGCGGCGGCATCTGCGCACAGCTGCTTGGGTCTCAGCGGCCCACACCAGCACGCCAAGGGCCACCATTACCACCAGTGCGCTTAGGAGGGTGTGAAGTGGGCGCATGTACCTGCAAGGACAATGGAACTAAGTTAGCCAGCCCTGCATGCTGGGAGGGCCGGCAGGCCTCAGAGTCCTCTGGATCACTGTTCACCTGATCTGGCCCCAAGTGCTTTGGTCCCACCTCTGTGGACCCTGCAGCCCAGAAAATACTCCTGTCAGCCCTGTCTCCAACTGGTCTAGTCTCCAGAGCTTCCAACTCCCAGGCTCCCGGGTGTACTCTCATTTGTTACCCATCAACCCTACAGCCCCAACTTCCTTAGATGTCCCAGTTCAGGTCCTCCCATCCCTCTAGGTCCACAGGCTTCCGGCCCTTTCCTGTTCTTTCCTTCTAATTCTACTCCCGCAGGACCGCTCTCAAGTTCCTCCACCTCAACCTACCCAAACCCATCCAGTCCTTATAAGTTCCTCTTCCAGGGCGTCTGTCTCCAAGTTTCCCTCTCCCCAGCCCCAGGGTGCTTACAGCGCACCCCTTCCAGGCTTCCTCTCCTGACAGACCGACGCCCACCTCCATCCAGGTTCCCACTTCCCTGTAGATTCCACCCAGTGTTACAGGCCTGGCCAGCCGAGAGGTTCTCAGACCCGCTCTTAATCCCCGCCCTGCCAAGCTCCTCCTCCAGGCTCTGCCTCTCTCCCGTCTCAGCCCGTCCATCCCTGGGTCCTCCCTCTTGCCTCGAGCTCCCCAACAGGTACCTCTCCGAGGGATGTTCCCCTCATATCTCCTCTTCAAGGCCAGAGCTCACACAAGTCCACCCTCCACATGCTTCAACTTGACGACATCCCTGTCTTGGTCTCTGCCCTATGATCTCCGAGGCCTCCTCGAGGTGGCCCCGTCACTCACATCACCCACCGTACCCCAGGCACACTCACGGGCCACTTTCAGGCTCCCCTCCTCTACAAGGCCCCTCTCCAACCCCCACTTTCCCTTGAGTTCCAACTTTCTCGGTCCTTCTCAGGTCCCCTCAGTCAGGCTCTATCCTACCCCAGGCCCTCCTCACAACCAGGTCCCACTTCTTCAAGCCCCCTTCCCCTTTTATGCCCCTTAGGCTTTCCATCTCTATTCAACGCGCTATTCCTGGTCTTACAACGCCCCTCCCCAGGCCTCAAAAACCAGCGGGCCCACCCTCCGTGCCCTGCAGGCGACTCCCTTCCTCCCTCACCCGGCCAGAGCGAGACCGAAGCCGAAGCACAGAAGATAGTTGGTTTGGTAGTAGAGGAGGTTGTTGATGACGCGGTGGCACCACCGCTGCGGGTCGCACGGATCTGGGGCCGCCAGACGCGCCGACCCCAGAACGAAGTCGTCCAAGGCGCGCAGCGGTGGCAGCCGCACCTCCGACATCCTGCCAGTGGATGTAGCTGGACCAACTAGAAGTGCGGCCCGACTACAACACCCGTTACACCCTGCGCCGCCGCGGGGAGCACCGGGAAATGGAGTTCGGGCTTAGCGATGCACCCCTCGCCACCAAAGCAAACTGCACAGACGCAGCAGGGCACGTGACCGAAAACGCAAGCAACACACCGGAACTGTAAAGCAGCAGGGGTTGGTGGGAAATCAAGTCTCCGCCTCCGCAGGGCATAGCGTTTTTATTCGCCCCCGGGCGGGGGCGCTACGGGAGGGGGATGTTGGGGGCGGGGCAGCGGTGCTAGGCCCAGCCAGCAGCTCAAGCACACTGTAGCCAATTGCCAGATTTAAGAGTACTCGCAGAGATTAACAGCAAAAATCCCACTTCCTCCCTGTCAAGGTCCAAGACGGCCACCACATCTTTCCTGGAAACTCCTGCAGGGCCTTTTCAGCTTTATCTTATCTAGGCCACTCCCCCCCCCTCCATTTAGCCATAAATACTATTAAGGGTCTTTTATTCATTTTCCGTCACATCAGACATCTCTGACAAGTTTTTAAAATCCCTACAGGTTGGATTAGGGCACTCCCTGTGGGTCCCTGGCAGTCTTCTCCAGGCTGGGAGCCCCGGGGGCAGGGTGGGGGGTCAGCTGCCTCCCTGGGTTCCTGGATGGCACTGTGGGCACACAGGAGGACACACGGTCATCATAAAGTTCTTAGTGGACATGATCTGTTTAGACATTGCTCTGCTGAGTGGAAGGCGGACACCTGCTGCATTAACACTTGCTGGCCGGCGACTTCCACAGCACTCCAACCCTCCCTCAAAGGCTTTGTGATTTGCCGTTGCAAGTTCCTAGCACAAACCCCAGGGTCCTTAAAAGTCATCATCATCACAGATGTCGAGGTACACATCGAAAGCCTCTCTGTTGCAGTTTCCATCAGGAGTGAAGACGTATTTGTGGAAGGTCCCATCTACACAGATGGCTGGAGGAGGGGAGGATCAGTAAAAGATTAGAGGCTGCTGAAGCCACACACTCCAATCCTCAGATGCCCCGTGGCCTGGGGTCTACCCCTAGGCTTTTGCCTGTATATCATCCCTCTTTATCCATTCTAGCGCCCTCAGGCTTCCCATGCCCTAAAATTATTTCAGGTCCAATTTGTAGGTCTTTGCCATGTAGTACCCCTCAACCAAGGGCTATCCACTCACCAATGACAGAGTTGACATTCTTGGAAGTATTGCGACCGAAGGCACAGATGCAGGCTGACTCAGCAGGCACGGTAAAGCTTGCCAGGCTCCACTGAGAGTCCACATACTGCCCGATCATAGGCCCCACTTTGCCCACGCGAGCCAGCCTGCAGGTAGCACTGGGTAAGCCCAGGTGTGGTACACGGGCAGGGGGATGGAGAAGAGGCAGGGCAGGGTATGAGTACTCACGCAGAGCGGCGGTTGAGGCGGGTATCTTTGAGAGCAAAGATATGGACTGTGCCCTTATCACTGGAAGCACACAGGAAGGAGGAGTCATGGCTGAAGTTGATGCTGGAATACAGACCAGCAGTGTTGCTCACATGCCATGTGGCACAGGGTCACCAGCCCACCACAAGACCCAGCGCTCACCAGTAGAGGGTGGCGGGGTCAGTGCCTCGACGCAGCTCCACCAGTTTCTCCTTGGACTGGGTGTCGAAGAGACGAATAAGGGTGCCTTTCTGGGAAGCTGAGGCCACTACAGTGCCTGGCTGGTTCAGGGACACACAGGCCACGTCACTCTGATGTGCGTTAATGGTAAATGGAGCAGATGATGTGCCAGGCTTTGTGCTCGCCAGGTCCTACAGTGGAAGGAGTCGTTTGGGCTTGGGGTAGTAGGCAACAGGGGGGCCAAGAGTTCACACGGAGAGCCAGCCCACCCACCAACCCGCCCTTGCTCGCTGGGCAGCTCACCACAAGTTGCAGACTCCCGCACTTGTGTCCAGGGAACACCAGCAACTGCTTCTCTAGGCTGGGGCAGAGGTCACAGAGCCCTAGGTGTGGGGATGAAGTGGGTGGGATGGTGAAGGAGAGAGAGGGTCTCAGAATGGACACAGCTGGATAAGGCCTAGACTTGCACCTTCCAGATACATGCTACCCACAGAATCCTAAGGGGCTTGCCTCAGCAGTGTGCCTGACCAGCAAGGCAGATTCCCTTCCTCCCTCTGCAGCAGTGATGGCCACAAGAGGACCCAACACACCCACACACATCCTTACTAGGTGTTTTTGCTATTATCTGGGGTACCCAGGGGTGGGGCAGGGCAGAGGGTGGGAATAGGGAACTGGTTAAGGGACAGAAAGCTGGAGAGGGCCTCCCCTGGTGGCGCAGCGGTTGAGCGCTGGGCTGCGAAGCTGCCCGCAGCCTCTGCAGCACCGGTTCGATCCCCGGCCGCCAACGAGGGTCCCACATGGCGCGCAGACCTCTCCTGCTGCCCGCTGCTCCCCTCAGCAGTGTACTTCATCAGTCTGCCTGCTCTGCTCTCCCCTCTGGCTCTGGTGAATTCTCTCACCCTTCCTCACGTCTGACTGTACCCAGTGCTTGTATAAATAAATAAATAAATGAATTTTTTAAAAAAAATGAAAGCTGGAGAGATTGGAAGCGTGAGCATTTGGGCCCTGTCTACTTCCTTCTGCTCTTACACCCAAGTCTCCTCACCTTTGGGGTTGTCCCGGGTATCAAACTCAAACAGCTTTCGGGGATTGTCAGGGAAGGAGTACACATAGATGCGGTTCCTCAGCACGATGACAATTCTGTGGGCATCACACAACACAGGGTGGCCATGAGCAGAGGACAGGATGCCCAGGCAGGACTAACCGTCTTGTCTGCTTTGGGGACCTCCTCCCTCTCCCCTGTCCCACAGGTCCTCCTCAGGCTCACTTGTCATGGCGCATGCGCACAGCCAGCACTGGCTTGGTGAAGGTGAACTCCAACACCAGCTTCTCCTTGGAGTCCTTGCCCTCCCGGGCATCATCCCAGATCAGCACTGCTGGGCAGGTGGGTGCATTGTGGAGGCCAAGGTTTAGGGTGAGAGGTAGCTCTGGTGACACAAGACCCACCCCTATTCCCCATGGGACCTCAACCTACTTGCTTTACCTTTTGCTAACACCCAAGGGTGAACTTCAGGCATCATGGGAAGTTGTGTCTAAAATTCCTAAGAGAACACGTTCTAGAACTGTTATACCCACTTACAGATGAGGGAACTGAAGCTCAGAGGGTCTCTGACCAAGAACAACTAAGCCCATGGGCAACTAAATAGGGACTGATAGCCAAGCCTGTAACTATTTCTGCCTCAAGGCTCTGACCCAACCCATAACCAAGAGATTTCTGTGAGGAATCCTAGGGCTCTGTGCCTCGCCTAGGGCATCTCTTGCCATGTCCCAGTGGGATCAACAAAAACCTTTAAAACATAATGGGTTTAAGGCTCAAGGCAAGAGGGTGGCAGGGAGAGGCTCCACAAGATTTTGACCCTATTGTTTGTGTGACTTTGGATAAATCACTTACCCTCTCTAGGCCTATCTGTGAAAATTGAGATGATGGTATTTCCTATCACATAGAATTACTATGAAAATTAAATGAGTTAATGCACATAAAGTGCTTATCACAGTACCAGGCCCATAGTAAGTGCTCTGTAAGCAAGAACATGGCATACCAGAGGCATTATGTGTTTGTTAAATGAAGACAAAACACCAAGCTTGTCAAGCTATAAGATCCATGACTTCCAAGCTGTAGGCCTCATTGTGTGACTTTGAGGCACTCTGACTTAATCTGCCAGTGCCCTGGGGTGCCTGGGGGAGGCCAGAGCTCCAGGGAATCTGGGCTAAGGGCAGAATGAGGGACTTACCTGAGATCTCTGAGAACTTGGGGCTGCTACCACCACCCACCAGAGCCAAGAGGTTGGAGCGGTGCAGCATCTCCACCAGGCCCATGCTGCCCACCTGTTCATGGTCTGGACAAGGATGGGTGTCAGTGTGGGTGGGAGATAATGCCCAGCCCTGCCCTTCTGCCCACTCCCACCCCCCAAGCCCCCAACACCGCTCACCCAGATGTCCTTTCTCCATCAATGGCTCCACATTGTAGATGCGCACACCAGTCTCCATGGCGCAGCAAAAGCAGCCTGGGGGATGAGAGGAATTCAGGCTGTCTCAGAGAATGCCCAGGTGGGAAGCTTGGGGTTCATCACCCACCTTTGGTCTCTCCCTCCCTCCTTCCCACATTAAACCTCTCTCACTTTGGTCTTGGTTGAAACGTAGGCTGGTTACTCCTCGAAGTGGCTGCTGAGTCATGGTCCAGGATTGCTTCCCTGGACACAAATGGGGGTAGGATTGGGAAGAGTCCTGAGGTCTACCCTCTGAGTCCTAGAAATTCTGTCCCTAATAGATTTCTTCTTCTTCCTCTCTGCCATCTACTAACCCCAGCAAGACTGCAAAGAAGACAAAAAGAGGGGAAGAATACTGGGTCTCCCGGATCCCAAGCAACATGGCCAGAACCCCCCCCCCCCATCTTCCCACACTTGGATGACTAGCTCCAGGCCTACCCTGACTTGGACCCTCTACTTCCTCCTTACTTGCTGGCCCTCATGGCTTGTCAGGAAGTAATGGGGTTGGAGGTGCCCCAGTGATAGCTCCTTCCCGCTCCTAGCCAGTCCTGGGCCTGATGCCCAGCATGGCCTCGATCCACTCCCACCCACTTCTCATCTTCACACCTGGACACCAAATCCACCTGTCAATAAATAGGGGAAAGGACATACACCTCTTCCTGTATTTCGTCCTGACCTGGCCCCAAGACCTGCTATGGTTGGTCCACCACTGATAGGAACTACCCTAATCATGCCCATCTGACCCTCCCAGCAACCCAGAGACAGCTCACACCTTCCCATGACACAGGCTTCCTCAAACCCCTTTAGGATCCCATGTCTATCTTGGGACAGCCTCTTCTCATGCCATGCTAACTTTTGCCCAACCAGGGACAACCCAGATGTTCCCCCAGATCCCCTTATGCCCTCAAGACCCTGCCCCAGGATTCCCCTATCACTCTAAATCCTCCACCCCTGGGACATACCCCTAAGTGTCCTCCTCCAGACCCTCTATGCTCTAGCCAAGACCCCTACCCTTTTAAGACCCTTGCCCAGGACACACACCTCCCAAAATCTCTACCAGGGACAAGTCATACCCCCCTCCCCAAGACACCTGCCCTGGAACTCCCACAGATTCCTGCCCCAGAGCCCCCATACTCCCTGAAAACCCCCATCTCCCCAAGACCTTTGCCCACACACACAACCTTCCCATCCTCCACGTGCCCAAGATTCCTACCTCCCCCCACTCCCGTGCCACCTCCACTGGCATCGCCTCATTGGACAGCTCCACCTCCCCAAATCCCTTATTTGGATTCCCATTCCAAAGATCCTCGTCACCCAAAAACCCTGCCCCGGGATGCCTCACATACCCTCCCCCATCCAGCTTCCTCAGGTTCAGGACAGCCCTCATACGCCTGCTAACACCAGCACCCACTCAATGTCCCTGTTCCAGGACACCCCCCACCCCCATCCACCAAGACCTTTGCTCAAGGACCCCAAGCCAACCCCAGACCCCAATGAATTTTAAGATCATGTCCCATCTCCACGTCACCTGCACTGACCTGACCTCTGTGCGTCCCCGATCCCAGTCCCAGCTATCGGTGCCGCCCGCGGCCCGGCTCTCTGACCTCCCGGGCCCAGACGCCCGGCTTCAGTGTTTACATCAGGTCTCACTTCCGGGGGAGGGAGTCTGTGACCGGAAATGACTCACCCTGGCCGGAAAACGCCGCCGTTACCCTGCTCGCCCAGCTTTTGGGTATTTGGCGCTCCGCGAGCGATTGCCGCGTCCTCCTTGGAGGGTGCGGGGAGCGGAGCGGGTTCCACCAGGGCATGACTGGCAGAAGCCCTGGGGAGCGGTGGGCGAGAGAGTCTGCCCTTCCCGGAGCTGAAAAGGGCCCAATATCTCCCAATTCGGTCCGACTGCCCGAGCCAGACGCATCCACCTCGGCTAGCAAGACTAGGACCTCCTAGGTGGACTAGAGTGACCGCCCCCCCGCCTCTCGGCAGCGAGGTGTAAGCCTCCAGGCGCCTAGAGGGGCGATAGCAGAGGCTTGGGGCGGGGATGGACCTAGAGGCCTTGAATGCTGTGTCCCCTGAGCTAGGGGAAGCCAGCAATGAATTTTCTATACCCCCCCCCATTTTCCCGCTTTGATTTGGTTACAAAAAGAAAAAAAAAATATTTTAATGGTTGGAGGTATGAATGCCTACTGGGGAAAAAATACCCCAATCAGGTACATACTGGAAATATTTTAAAATCCAGCTTTTAATTTTTGAGAAAGTTGTACATTCACACGTGGTTTTGAACAGGACAGAGAAATCCCATGCACTTTTGAGTCCCTCAGAGTTAATGTGCTGTAAAGGATAGTCCACCCATCCTTCACTTCTGTCAAGTACCTTTTTCATCCTTAAAAAAAACTTAATATTTAATGACCATGTGTTAATTCATGCTTTTCAACTGATTCATGGTATTCCGTGCGTGGTATAAACGTAGCATTGTTCACCCATTCCCCTACTGACGACCACCCGACTTGTTTCTGTACTGTGTTGTCATCATCCATGGATATGTTTACCAGTGAACTCTGGCCCCATATAGTCTCCTAGGTGTGACTCCATTGTTTTGCTTCTCAGCAGAGTCAAGCTTTCTTTAGTCTCTATTTCCTCATATCTCAGACCATATTTAACTTAATTCAGTTTGGCTTCTGTCACTCCCCTATCTCTGAGACTGCTCTAAACCAGATCATATATGGATAATCACCTAGTCAACCAGCAATCACGTTCTACCCTCCCCTCTAAGGCCAGTGCAATCCACAGTGTTTTGCTCTTGCTCTCTTGGTTTTTTTTCTCTTACAAGTCTGACTGCCTACATCCAATTTCCAAATGTTGAAGTCTCCTTGGGTATGATCCGTGCTCCCTTTTGTAGCAAGTATTCTCTTACCTGGTGATTTCATCTTGTGTCTTAGCATTAATTATTGTAAATATTTGGAATACCCATTAATTTAGACCTCTAGCCTGGTACATATGCCTCATGTATGCCATAGCCTACTTGCTATGGACATGTTCTTGTGGATGTCTCATAAGGCATCGCAACCTATCCAGACAGGCCACTTGAATTCTCCTTGCTCAAACACTCTTCTGTCTCCATCATCTCAACAAATGGCACTACTACAACACCCAGTTTGTGACTCAAAGAGCAGGCATTTCCTATTTGATTCTTCTGTTATTGGTAAATTCTGTTTCCACTGTTAAAAGCTGTAACAAATATGGGGCCTCCCTGGCGGCACAGTGGTTGAGCGCTGGGTTGTGAAGCTGCCCACAGCCTCTGCAGCGCCGGTTTGATCCATGGCCGCCAGGCGAGAGTCCCACATGGCGCGCAGACCTCTCCTGCCGCCCGCTGCTCCTCTCAGCAGTGTACTTCATCAGTCTGCCTGTTCTGCTCCCCGCTCTGGCTCTGGTGAATTCTCTCACCCTCCCGCGCTTCTGACTGTACCCAGTGCTTGTATAAATAAATAAATAAATCTTTAAAAAAAAAGTGTAACAAATATAACCACTTATTCATGCAGTTTCAGTCAAGATGAAGTAACAGGGACCACATTTACCCTCTCACATGCAACAACCAACCTCCTCCCCACCCTTCCAAAAAAAAAAAAAATTAAAATACCCGGAGAAAAAACCCAGAGAATTAAAATACCCAGAAAAATCAAAATACCCAGAGAAAAAACCATGAAACTAGTTTTCAAGACATAGGCATCAGGTCATAAAGATCAGTGATCTCTGAGAAATGAGAAACAAGATGAGCCCTCCCATTGCCCCAGGATACCCCTTGGAGACTTTTCATGCTATGGTACAAAAAGAGGAGACTGAGACTGCCCTGGTGGCCTCTCTGTGCTGAGATAATCCAGAGAAACAAGGGCAGCTGGCCTTCAAAGAGTATGAGTAGAGAACAGCACAGAGAGAGAACAACAGATATTCGCAGAGTGTGCCCATTGACGATGCATCAGGGTACTCATCTGAACACGCTTGGGCGGCAACTACCCAAGACCAAGGAAAAGAACCATCCAAATGGATTAAAGCTAACAGGGCCTGGCTCTCACACCCGCAGAGCATAGTGCCTGCCTCCACCAGATAGACTGGAAAAACCCATCATTCTCAGGACAGAGTACATAGGAAGGTCTTGCCTTAGTTGTGGGCAATAATTAGGCTTAAACTTAGGACTCCTCTAGACCCACTGAAGAAATTATGAAAGACCCTGAGAGATCGAACTGTTTCTAAGTAATTTGACAATCTCAGTACAAAGATCAGGAAGTTTATTTTTATAATTAAATTTATTTATTTACATCTTTTTTTAATGGGTCCAGATTAATGTACTTTTAAATTTTATTTAATTTTTGCATAGAAGAACTGGGGTGTAGACCAGAGGTGTGTGTGTGGGGGGGTGAGAAGATTCACCAGAGACAGAGTGGGGAGCAGAATAGGCAGACTGACAAATACACTGCTGAGGGGAGCATCAGGCGAGACAGGAGAGGTCTGCTGCACCATGTGGGTAAACTCCCTGCCCAGGGATCGAACTCAGGCTGTAGCGGTGATAACGCTGAGACTTAGCCCTTAGGCCATGAGGGAGGCCCCATCTTTGTTATTTTTGTACAGTTTTTGATTTTTCTCTTTGGGTGTAGTCCCTGTAGTCCTCCTACCACCATAGCAAGGTCAGGAAGATTTATAGGAATAACAATAATAATTTAAGAAAAACCTCAAATCTAAAAAGGTAAAATTTACAATATCAGTTACCCAAACAAAGATGGTCAGGCATAAAAAAAGCAGGCAATATATACTACAGCATGGAAGAACCTTGAAAATATTATGCTAAGTGAAATAAGCCTGTCACAAAGGACCACATGGTGTATCATCCCATTTACATGAGATGCCCAAGATAGGAAAGTTCATAGAGACAGAAGATTGATTGGTGGGTGGTTGCCTAGGACTGGGTTGGGAGGGTGATTGAGGGGAATAGGGCAATGACTGCCAAAAGTTATGAAGTTTTTTGGGGGTCTGCTGAAAATGTTCTAAAATCATGGTGATAGTTATACAACTCTAAGTATACCAAAAAACCCCCAAACATTTAATGATACACTTTATTTTATTTTTTTTAAAGATTTATTTTTTATTTATACAACAGCTGGGGTACAGGCCAGAGGCGCGGGAGGGTGAGAGGATTCACCAGAGACAGAGTGGGGAGCAGAACAGGCAGACAGACCAAAAGCACTGCTGAGGGGATCAGCGGGCGCTACAGGAGAGGTCTGCCGCGCCATGTGGATATCTCCCTGGCCAGCTGGGAATTGAACCCACGCTGCAGAGTCTGCGTACAGCTTCACAGCGCTGTCCTCAACCTGCTGTGCCACTGGGGAGGCCTAATGATACACTTTAAATGGTGTGGTATGTGAATTGTATCTCAATAAAGCTGTTATTTAGAAAAAAAAATCAAGTAAGGGTGGAGAGTTCCCAAGGGCCGGGCAGGATGAAGGGCTTGTCCCCAGTGCCTGACAGCTGAGTGGTCCAAGGCAGACCCTATGATTAAAAAAAAAGAAAAAAGAATTAGGAAAACACAATCCATAGTGATCAATCAATGGAAACTTGACCCAGAATGGCACAGATGTTAGAATTAGGCAAGAATGATGATAAAAGTTATTAAAACTGTACTTCATATTAAAAAAAAAGTTAAGCAGAGACATGGAAGATATAAAAATACCCTCGATTTTCTAAAGATTAAAAATGCAGTGTCTGAGATGAAGAAATATATCAGATGGGATTAATGACTAGATAGCACAAAAGAAAAAGTTTGCTAATTTGAAGTCCTATCAGTAAAAACTAAAATGAAGCAGAGGGTCAAAGAACTTTAAAAAATAAAAAGAGCATAAATGAGCTATGG